ATTGTGAGGAGATGACAATAAAAAACTATTTGGAGTATCATTTGATTTTTTTTTCTTTAACTTTTAGTACCTACGTACTATTTTTTCGTAAAAGTATTTTAATTTCAAATATCGCTATGAAAATATATCTATATTCACTAATATAGGTATATAACAAGGTTTTACCATTACTACCATATTATACATTGAAGAAAAATTATCAGGACTTCATTTTTATAAGCATGTCATTTTCTAAAAGGTTTTCGGTAAATATGCAAAAAAATTACTTTACATCATTGTTAAGGGATCGTTGGGAAAAAATTGTTAGGATTAAGAAATTCTGGCGCGTTACTATTTATGGAGAGCAACGCTGCAGTGCTGGTGGATAGGCTCGATCAGGGAAGGCATCTTCTGCATTCTGATTTTTATTGAACAAGAGGATATATATATTTACACAACATCCTACAAGGCTACAGCATCCACTTACCAACAAGTGATGAAATGTGTGCCCGTTTCTCATTTGTCACCCCGAACTTTTTGAACTTTGATGGTACTTTTCCTTTAAATAGTTTAACATAATATGATGTAATATAATAAATGCTTCCTACCTACGAACCCCTTACTTCGAACTATACACTTTCTTTTTTTAAAACATAACCTCCATACTAGGATTTTCTCCTGTATCGTGGGGGCTGTTTACATACATACGTTTACGTAGGGCAAATATCTAGACCTGGAACAATTATTTGTAAGGCCATATAAATGTTGTTCCGTGCGGGATTCGAATCCGCGGCCTTTAGCGGTGCAACTCATTGCTAAGCCACTGCGCCAAGGAGCCGTCACTAATTGTGCGAATGTACGTAACTGATTTTATGTTGTAAGATACACAGTACAACATTTTCTTCGTGATATTTTTCTTTATAATTGGGCACCCAGTCGGAAATATTTACATATATTTCAGTTGACTAGTTTCAGATATCGCACAAAAACGATAGTCTAAACATGGTATGTCCCCCGTGACCATGGGTGCTGCAAAGCACCCGAAACGTCGGGTATTAAAAATAAAATAAATAAAACGCGATAAAATCCGTAAAAGTAGTTTTAATCAATGGTATTATCATCATCAATACCATATGTATTCAATTGGTAAATAAATATAAAATATAATTGGTGCAATATTAAAAAAAAAAAAAACGTATGCCTCACGCGTGCTATTTCATATAAAACGACACGTTGCGTTTACGTTTCGAGGAATTTCGTAATAACATTTCGTCCAAGGGTGACCACATACTGATAGTGGAAACAACTTACCGCTTTTGTAGCGTATAGTGATATCCAATCTTACGACTTAAGTACTACAGACGCTTCTGTATATACAAACCGTGTGTTTTATTAAAAATTTAATGTTACTTAATCCTTTTTTCAAATAAATTGAAAATCAAATAACAAGCATTGTTTTAATAATTAACTGCATCATTTAATATAACTGATTTATTATCGTTAGTCAAGCTTACAAGCTTAGATTCTTTCACACATGCGATATCCACAAGAAAAGTCCTTTATACCTATTGGGTTAAGCGCCATTATCTTAATTTTTGGAGCTATGAATTTACGGAGAAACATTCATTAAAAGTAGGGCCACCTTAAACATGCTTTTCTATTATAAATCTGAACGAAATTCAACCACAGAAATTGGGTTAATGGTCAATTTTATTGTACGCTATTAAACGTAGCTAAGTGTACGTGTGCTATCGTTTATTTTAAATCATTTCCATAATAAAAGATATTGAGCAACACAATAATATTCGCATTATACTAGAGTACCCGGATGACCGAGTTTTGCTGTTTTTCTTTTTTTTTTGAAAATTACATTTAGATACAAATTACTTACTGATGAATAATATTTTTTGATCTTATTGACATAATAGAAAAGACTGAACTGGTTATTTAAATAAAAAATAATGAGTGCAATTAGGTTAATTAAAATTTTCGTATTTTTAAAAAATACTAAAAAAAAGGGCTCGAAATAATAGATTTTCTCACAAAAGAAGGCAACTTGAAAAAAAAGGAAAAAAAAATCGGACCGAAGACAGGACGCGAACCAAGGCATTACGATTTCGCGACCGCTCGATATCCACTTGAGCTATTACGATCATTAACACAGCGTCAAAATTTACCTTCTTATATTGTAGCAGTTTTTCATTGTCTGAAAACACGGACAAAAAGACATTTTCTAAAAATAAATCTTAGCTAGATCGATTTATTGCCCTCGAAACTCTGGACACTAAATTTTATGAAAATCGTTGGAGCCGTTTTCGAGATTCCGATATATATATATATATATATATATATATATATATATATATATATATATATATATATATATATATATATAATCGGACAGCGATAGTGATAGTCATTGATTAGCGGTTTTAAAACCCGGCTACACGCTCAATCTTACTTGCACAAATTCTAATTTGAACAAGCAAGCATTTAAGTTAAGACGGCGTTTGAACGCTTCACGTGTTCTTTGCGAAAACTTTGTACAAACTCTTTGCGCATGCAAGAAGACGCTATCATGTGGATATTGTTTGTTTGCGCTGTGTGTTGCTATTTGCCGTATTTTATATATTGCCTCATAGGAAGGATTTTTCCATAGTCGCCACGCTTGCCAGGCGAGTTGGCAACCGCATTTTTTTAAATAATTTAAGTTATTAAAGATGCTGCTGCCCATCTTCTGTTTTAGTTTACCTCTGTCGCCTCCTGCGACTCCCACGGTACGATATGGGGTAGTGGGATATTCTTACACTGCCACTACACGGTCGTACAATACATGATACCTACTGTATTTACAGATATATGAATTCGAATTTCATAATAAAGTGTATTTAGATAATTCGCACTAATTATGAAATGGTAGCAAATTTATCCATAGCATAGTAAGTTTAGATTTATACTGAATATTTAATCAAACCTAATATACTAAACTATATCTTTATCTTAGCTTTCCTGATATGATAACAGTTACTTATCATTAGACGCGGTCTTTTAGAAGACTTTTATATTACGACACATTAAATATAGTTTATCAACGCTCCTCTCCATAGCTTCATTATTCTACAAAAGTTCAACGTTCATAGAGTATACAGTTAGCTAATTACTAGACTACTAGTGATGCAACGAATACGAATATTCGTATTCGCCGAATAGTAGACATGTACCGAATATTCATATTCGGCGAATACTAATCACGAATATTTAAAAACTAATATTTTTGTACGTAACTCTAGTTACTGACAGACTGAAAACGCGCGTCGTCGGCGCGTAAAAACCACAACGACGGCTACACGAGGGCAGGGGAGTTATTACTCAATTTAACACCTATCAATATACCGAAACATGTTTTGTTTCAAGATTTTGAAGAGATTACATCAGATGTTGAAGAGATTACAACACACGTAGGTACATGAATAACGGATACCGATCTAAGATATTTTACCATCTCTACCAATTGTCGTCATGAAATCACAGCAAGACAATGGGCTCTTACGAGCCAGATTATTGATATTCTGGCCAATTTTGAAGAAGCTACTAAAGAGCTAAGCAAAGAATCAACGACATAACAAGCAATCCCAATAATACGAAGTCTTAAATCTTGCCTCTCATTTGACGAGAAGATGTTCATTTTCCAAGGCTGAAAACTCGCCCAAAAATATTTTTCACTGAAACCATGTACAGTCGCTTCGGAAAGGCTTTTTCAACGGCTGGGAACATCCAGACTGAAAAAAAATCGCATAAAACCAACAAAACTTCCAAATTTTAGGTTTTTTTTTTTTAAATAATAATTTGCCTGTTGTAAATTTTAATTATTAGAACAATATAAAATCATCGAATAAATTAGTTGTTCATTAACATGGAGAGATATGCGTATTCGTAAAAGTAGTATTCGTTGCATCACTACTAATTACCCACACCTGCGACGGGAACAGCGTGAAAGGTGCGAAACTTCTGGGACTGTGATCAACAATCCGCGAGACACTTAAGATAAATCCTCCTCACGAGTGAGCTACATGTACATCAGTAGACTTTAAACGGCTGATAAAAAAGCTTCTGGAACGATGTATGACGTCACGATTTAATGACTCATCCGAAATGTAAACAAGTCGGCCACGTCATGGCTATTCCGCACTATGACTCTGTTTAGATGTGCAAGAATACACGGTCTGGTGTAAGATTCGTATGAAACCTTGATGACGTAACTTGATATCATAAAGACTCTATTGCTATTGATGAGTTGTTCTAGTTATAACTACATATTATTTATAGTTGGAAATATGGTTTGATTTAATGAAGATGTACATAGTACATCCTTGGTTTAAGTTCGCTTCGCGAAATAAAGTTGCATCCCGTGTTGTCATGATTGTTATTGAAAATATAAACATCCGTTCATTTATTTACAAATATTTGTTTAATTTGTAACAACACATGATATTGTTGATGATTAAGAGAACTGTACATTATTTTATTATCTATGAATTATAATAATGCCCTCCAGACAAACTTTTGGTCACGGCGGCCAAACTCAACAGAGACTAAACTCAACCCAAGGTGACCCTAATATGGTGTCTGACCATGACCTCGTAATGTCATCATGATGCTACTTTTGTAAGGCTAAGGTCTAATGTTCATTAGTAATCTCATCGAATTTATGCGTGACTGGTAAATTACCAGGACAATTTTCATGGAGGTCGTTCATTGTGTTATGCTGCTTGACCAACAGAGTTTAATTTGTTATTTGGTTTTTGGTTTGAGACAATTTAATTACCTTTAACATAGAGTTATTGTGCATACATGTAATTTTTGTATCATCCGATATAATAAGGTTTTATGAAATTTGAATAAATATTTTTATCAACATAATATAGGTGGTAATGAACATAAAAAACATTATCTTGAAAATAAATTGTTATTATTTTGTTCTACAGGTACACTTTTCCCCACATCCGCCAAAAGTGCATGTTATGAGAGTATGGGCATTTGCAGCGAGGCAGGCCAGGGCCGGTCACTGGGAGCGACACGCTCTCGACCGCGAAAGGTTTAAACGAAGGTCAGTAAACCAAAACAATAGAACCAACATTATTAGCTTAGATGCATTTTAGTCGGTCGTTTACTCCAAAAACGTAAACCTAGTAGTTTTATATATTATAGCCATGTTATCTTTCTTGCATATTTGAGCCACCATATGTGACAAAATTAAATAAGTAAACGTACAGTTTTATTTAAAAAAGGATTTCTGTTAAAGTTTTAACCAAAAGTACACAATTACGCTATATGTTTTTTACATACCTACGAAAGTTTTAACAATTTATTCCATTACAGAATAGCTGATGTTGATATGGCAGTATCTTGGGTCCTCAAGCCCCAGCATAGATCCCTGGTTATGTTCCAGCGGTTTATGCCTTGGTGGAACGCTCAGAAAAGAAAAGAATTAGCCGAAAAGAAGCAAAAAGAAATGGAAGAAAAAAATGCCGAGGAAAATAATAAAATAAGTGATATGTCGCACGCAGAAATAGTTAAAGAGTCAGGTGTAAATGTTGATGCAAACGGTAAGTCTGGCGCAAAAATTGTTACGGATTTAGATGAAAAGATCAAAATAAATAAGAAATCTGACGATAAAATAATATCAGAGCCAGATGTTAATATAAATAACGTAAAAGAAATTAAAATTACTTCACCCACAGAAGTAAACGATCGAAGTAAAAAAATCGTTAATGGTTTTAAAAGTAACATTGTATTACTGAAGGAACCTGCTAACATTTGCAGTAAATCAGACAATACGGAAAAAGATATGAAAAATTTAAAAGAAACGCACAAAGTTCTAACGGACAACGAAGTAGAACTAATTGATGATAAAATTAACGCCCTAAAATTGGGTATACCAGGCAAAGATAGAGACGCATTAACAACTTGACACCGTTTTATATGTAGTTCGGCGACCATATTGACTTGAACTTCGGCATCATTGCGGGCAGTAAGGACTGAGATAGCTGCTAAGCAAATTTGTGTCATCACACCCTGAATACAATATGCAGAAAAATGTTATATTATTCTGAATGTTTGTTGTTACTTGCAAAAGTTGTCTATGATCTCAATATTTTTGATCATTTAAATTACTCCATTTACACAAATACTATATTTTAATTTGTTTGATATTTTATCAGAGCTATCAACAATTTACGATTTCTTAATCTTATTTTATTCGTGTCTTTAATGTATTCTACAAAAAAAAAAACTCAATTTATTTATAAATGTAATAAAAAATTCACCTTGACATTTCGTTACGTCATACGCGAGTGTATAAAACTAAACTTATCGCGATGTTGCTAGGATGCTGGTTCATTTACTAGCACGCGATGATATCGGAAATCTTGTCGTTATGGCTATCGGACTATACGGGTTGGGGCTAATAGATAATATTGAAGCCGGGAAAACTGATACATAAATTTTTTATTACATTTCTTATGTAACTATAACACTTCATTCATCCTTTAAAAATCTCTACAGTGGCTTTAAAACTAATTTACCTCAGGATGACTTTACAGACAGACAGATAAGCCTCAAAAACTACACAACATTTGAAATTACAATATTCAAGTTCATTCTAAGATGTGAATATCGCCAGGAAGCGTAATGAAGACTGAAGGGTTCTATCACCGCGATAGATATCCCTATAGATGCCATATTAAAACCAATGGCGGCATTGTGATAACCACCACCTGTTATAAAGAAAATTAAATCAAAATACTTAATGATTAAGGTTGTACATATCCTGACGTATCCCCTCTACAGATACATACTATATACACCATACACACTTTACATACATTTTATCGTCTAGGCTCTAGAATTACATTTAAAAACGCGGAAATTTAATCTAAACAATTTAGGAATTTGAATGCCGGAAGTAAAATAATGGTTGTGGAATTTTGCCTCAGTTAATTCATAACATGACCGATGTAGAAATACTGCAAACATTAAGTTACCAAAGCAAGAGCTAACAATCAATGTCAAGTCACACCGTGAAAGTTGACTAGGACTAACGGCTAATGACAACAGGTCGTAGAAAACTTTGTATTCTGATTACCTACCATCGTTCTCACACATGTTTGGGAATAACTTACACTTACTTAAGATTTGATGCAGAGACAAAAACTGCTACTCATTACACCCAATTAACTAAAAATAACATCATAGATAGTATTATCTACTGCAGAGTGGCTGCGGTTTTAAATAACAAACAGTTTTCGTTTGAAGAAAAACAATTTTAATATACATTTTGCAACGTAAAAATGTAACATAATTTTTGAACGCAGTAATAAAAATTTATTAATAATTTAAGTGTGCAGAACGCACCTAGCAACGGCGCGCTCGTTTCGCTTAAATCATTATTAAAGAATAGCATCGTTTTTATCGGACTTTATCGATATTATTTGAATTTGATAAATTAAATAATCTATTTCAATATATTTTAATAACGGATGGCAGTGTTATAAACAAATCTCACAAAGAACTTAAAAATAAGGTATTAAGAATTGTTCTCGATACGAAAACAAAATCTAATACTATGAAAATTGATATAATATTTCAACGATCGCTCGGACCACTACACATTACACATAATTTTTTTACACAAAGCAAAGACGTAAATTATAATTCCAATGAAATATTTGACTTACGGATGAAAATAAATAAAACTTCAAATTAAACTTTTTAAAATATTCTGTGATAAGTAATAACACTTTAATGTCACATTGTTTGAGTAAAAAAATAAAGTTAAATCCTATAACAAATTTAAAAAAAAAACGCAAGAAAACCTTCGAGACTTGTACAACGTTCAGATAATATGTAATAAAGGAATGTGTGATGGGAGTAAGGCAGTATCATTGTATAGGTATGAAAGTACTACAGTTTGGGCAATTTTCCAACTTTTGATATAAATTAATTATTTTCATTGTTAAATACGTTAAACTTATTTTAAGTATAGACATACAAGGTTATTGATAGGGCTTCTTCTTTCTAATGGGTTATTTCTCCATGTGGGGTAAGGGCCTTAATAAACCTCATTAAAGCCAATATTGTTCGCAACTTTAATTCTTAAAAATTACTTTCTTTTCTAATCATTAGAAAGAATAAATCCTTCTACTAATAGTATAGAGAAGTGTGTTAAGAGAGTAAAATTTAATTTGGTAATAGTATTCCTTATTATTCCTCGCTCAAATTTTTGTTCATCAATCTTTTTTTTTTTTTCTTTAATATTGTATATCACCAATTTAAGTTTTTTACACTTAATAGCTATTAAAGAAATTACATGTAATATAAGTGTATGATAAACATGTAAATTTGTGTAAAATATAGATACTATAATAAAATTATATTCTTACTGAATGTAAAAATAGTTCGGCCTTATTAAAAGCACTATTGTTTCGTTTATTTATTGAAATGCTAAGAAATATTTTTGTTACACAACATTGTAGATAATGATTGTTCAATATATTTTATTGTTTTAAAGAAAAACGGGAAGTACCATCATAAAAAAATCGTAAACTACTATCGTCTTGGTTGCATTTTAAACTTAAAAAATATAGACTCGCTGTAAAATTTTATTTTGCCACGTTTTTATTAAGTTACTTTCTTGTTTGTTTTTTGTTCCGGGTAGTAATTAATTTTAAACTAACATCACTCAGACAATACAAGAATATGATAATAAAAACTTGGTAAAAATTAAAAAAAAAACACTTGTTTAGGGTTAATCACATATTTAACATATATCCGTCTTATTACAAAACGTGGTTTATCGATAGTATCGGGCTTAAACTATGGGTTAAGAACTTTAGCCGCGGCCCCAGTCTTCGCGAAATTTGGAATTTACTGTCAACTTCCATACTTGACATTTTTGTTGTCATATTTCCGCAAAACTTCTTTACTTTTTGTAATAAAGCCAATTATGTTTCTCCTTGAAATTACTAAACCTATTTTTCATTTTGCTCAACTACTTAATTTTAAAATCACAATTATTTAAACTTTATTGAACAATATTATCTATAATGTTAGTTTTAAAGGTTTAATTGCTTTATAAACGGTATTTTGTAAATTAAGTGTGCATATAAAAACAAATACACATTAAAACATTGTACCTTATATTGTTAATATAAATAAAACTGAAGAGAGCAGGATTGTGATTAATTACTATGGGTTTTGGTTCTAAATGCAATAAATAGCAGAAAAAATTGAATTTTATTTTATTATTATGTTCTATTAACTTTGGATAAAATATTTTATTACATAGCGAAGAGGAATGTTGAAAACTGTTATAAATACAAAAAAATATTTTGTAATACCTCATTTGGGAACCACAGTTCTCTTACTTTAAAATTTTACGCGGACAGTCATCAAATGGAGGTAGTCCAAATAGCTCTGGTCGGAAATGTAACAAGGAACGAATAACCATCGTAGCATTACAATTAAAATCCTTCTCAAGCCGATGATATGGGATCATAACTACCTAAAGCCAAACCAAAAAAAATCGTTTTAGTAAAATATACCTGGATGGTAGAGCCGCTTCTGTGAAGGAGCCCGTTTGACGGTGTCAAACACTTAATAACTTTGCTGCTGAAAGGCAGGAGCTTGCATCTGTAACCTTATTGGTTGGTTCCAGGTGTCTATGGGCTGTAGTAGCCGCTTACCATCAGATTACTTTAGCTCCTGTATTAATAATATTAGAAAGAAAAATATTTAGTAGCTAGGTAGTGGACATTCTTGTACCTGGAGGCTACACGGTTAAACAAATAAAAAAATGTTTCAGTCACGTGACTAATAGAATGTAAATTGTGTATTTACTTAAATATTATATATATATATATATATATATATATATATATATATTGACTGCCTCGTTGGTCTAGTGGTTGTAGTAGTGCGACTGCAGGTCATGAGGTCCTGGGTTCGAATCCCGGATTCCGGATTCGAATGCCAAAAAAAAAATTTAAGTATTGAGTTTTTGCGTCAAGAAATTCTCAGTAGTTGCCCGGAGTCCCCCTGCCTCGGAAAGCACGTGAAGCCGTTGGTCCTGCGCTTGATCTCTCTCCGGTCCGGTCGTGTCGTGAGAGTGACGGAATAGAGAGTGCACCTGTGCTTGCGCATACACTTGGGCACTATAATCCTGTTCTGCGCCGATGGCTAGCCTCCGTTAAGGCTGGCCGTCGTGGCCGAAATTCGGTCTGGAGGACATTAAGATAAGTAAGTATATAGTAATAATATTTTTTTATATATATATATATATATATATATATATATGTGTGTATGTATGTATATACTTACTTATCTTCACGCACAATCCCTAACGGGGTAGCCAGAGAGAACAGATCGCCAAGTGTCACAATCCTTACATACCTCTTTCGCTTCTTTCAGGTCCATTAACTTCTTCATACATGCACTTCTAGGTATCCGAGTACTCTTGACCCTCCCCTCTTCGAGCAATTTGCACACATGGTCTTCGAAAGTTAGTCTCGGTCTACCTCGACACCTTTTAATATTTACTTTCGCTCTATATATTTTCTTCACCATTCGGTCTTCACTCATTCGCTCAACGTGCCCAAACCATTGGAGTACGCCCCTATCAATTTTTGTGATAATATTTTGGTCATCTTTCAATCCCGCCATACTGCGAATCTCTTCGTTTCGCTTTCGGTCGGCTATGGTAACGCCACACATTTTACGAAGAGATCGCATCTCCACTGCATTCAACTTGCTTTTATGCTTCTTCTGGCATACCCAGGTGTATATATATAATTTTATACGTGTTAAAACCACGCTGCAACTATATTATGGCTGCAGCACAAATGGATCGGCTCAGCAGCACAAATGGATCGGCTCAGCAGCACAAATGGATCGGCTCAGCATCACGCTTTCAGAATAACAGCGTAAAATAGCAGTTAATAATACTGTTTCGTATGGTAAGTATGAGCCGAAGACCCTTTTACGGGTAACGAGGCGTTTCATCTTTTGACAACGTATCTACAACGATTCATCAACGTAATCAAGGATAGATGTTTGTCTACGGGCCACAGCATCCACTTACGGTGTTCTCGCTTGTGACCCAAAAAATTATGAGTTTGATATAAGAAAAACGCTCTTGTAATGTAACGATGTATGATTGGTCGAATACGACCACGGCGACAGCTTTCAAATATGCCATGCTCAGATCAATAAAAATAGAGATCTTGAGATGCCATTTCGCTTATTTCCTTTTCCGTATTCAATTCGAGACATTATTTGCGAGAAATCAGAACGCCTTTGTGAAATAAAATGTTATCCGTTCTGTTAGATGTTTAGTAGGCAATTCGTTTTGTATTTAATCCCTTGCCGTATTGCTGTTTCCCGCTTCACCCTTAATACGGTGATCTTTACTAGCGTGCCTATTTTCAAATCAACACGGATTAGTAATGGAACAGATCGCTTCAAACCAGTGTTTAATACAGATGTACACTGCTGTGTAAAATTAAAACCGAGTTTCGCAGTTGGCTAGGTAATTCGGTCCAGAATACATTAATTTCACGAAACCGCTGTCTCGAATTTAAAACGGAAAGAGGGATATGATGCAAGAATGTCTTGGAAATTTATCAAGTGGTAAACCTAATTTTCTGCCTAGCAAGTCCGTCTGGGTGGTTCACCCTCCAAACTATTTCTAACACTAGTAAGCAGTGCGTGAACTGCTAGGCTGTGAAGCATATCATTATAGTCATCACAGGTAACAACGCATCTCTATCTTTCTTTGTTTAATGTTAGTTGCAGGTGTCCACGGGCTGCATAGTTAGCTACTTACCATCATGTAGTCTGTAACTTCGTTTGTTATTTTAATTATATATAAAAAAAATCACAAGACTACGCGTAAAGCATTCATTCGTTTTGGTACCGGCAAGTAGCGAGGAAAGGAGGCAGAGACGTGGTGTGGTCACAATACTCGTTATGCCGTATGTCATGTTCCTTTTCATGCCCATCGCTCCCTGTTTTGCCAAAAGACTGGTAATGTAAGAGCAGGTGGCAGGCCACATAAGCGCGCGAACGCAGTCCGCATTGAGGTCTCGTTACGGAAGCTACGTTCTATTGCGATGAATCTACCATGTCCGTTGGCGAGAACGACGACGTATATATCTTTTTATGGTATTGATGTAATTAGCTATGCTAAATATGCTTATAATGCGCACGCTGCCACAGTTGCAACATCCATTGTGTTGCAAATGCAAACAACTTATGTTAGTGCAGAGGCTCGCGATTGATTCCGCGAGTAGAGCGGTGAGCAGCGCGAGGAGTATAGTGTGGCGGAGGCATAATGAACGCCTATGCGAGCACAAGCTTGTTAAAGCTCACTAAGATATAATGATTACGACATCATAAAAAAATTAGAGTAAATAAATTCTGTTGAGTTACTAAACTTGTTAAAACTAACTTCATTTACAGATAAGTAGTTATGGCATCAAATGCAGGTAAATTCTGTCGTTTCAAAAACCGAACTTTGGCCGTTTCCTGTGGCACACACACTGTTATTTTTTTATAGGTGGCAAACGAGCGCACAGTCCACCTGATGGAAAGTGGATGCTGTGGCCCATAGACATCTACATTAACCTCGATTAAGGGTACACTAGCCACTCATTCTTCCATACAAACGTAGTTTGGCGATTACTCCAATGTTTGATGTTGTACGTTAGAAATAAAAAATGATTTCAATTTGTCTCATCATTATCTAGCCCTGTGTGGAAACAAAAAATTAAAACAAGAATGTATTTAAAAGTTGTAATTTTAACACATCTTTGGGCGGCAATAAACACCATAAGAAGAACGAAAATTGCAAAACCGTTACCATACAGGGGTAGATTAGGTGTTCAAAAGTGCAAATAATTTTATTTTGAACAGATACATTTAATAGATTTTTCATGATATCCAGATTCTCAAAGGTCTTTTTACAAAATTTCGCGCGCTCGTTTTGTTGTAAATCATCATGCCTTTCGCTTTCGCACGTGATCGGCTGAGATAGCATGCATTTTAACCCCGCCCACCACTTAGTTCGTGCCATCGACTAAGGCCGCCTTAGGAATCAAAATGCAGATGCGTTGTCACCCTTGAGGACTAAGATGGAATGCCTCGATTTTAGTAAAACGGGTCTCCGGTTAGGCTCAGCGATTGAAAATCCTTCCTAGATGGATTTTTTTCTAGTTTAAGAGTGTCTAGATGGGAACCACTCTTTTATCTATTTTTTTCCCTAGTCAGTAGTGCTTGTCATCTACTCTACTGTTGTAGTTGCACTCCTGGTTGAAGGATTTTATACGTGGTAGAGCCATGCAGCAGTTATATTAGTAGTATAGTTGTAGCACGAATGGGTCGGCTCGACCGGGGAAGGACCACGCTCTCACAGAATACCAGCGTGAAATAGTAGCTTAATGCTGCTGTATTTTGTATGGTGAGTGTAGAGAACCGGAGACCCTTTTTACTGGAAACGAGGCATTCCATCTCAGTCCTCACGGGTGACAATGCATCTGCATTTTGATTTTTAATGGAGGATAGATGTGGATGTCTATGGGCCGCAGCAACCACTTACCATCAGGTGGACTGTGTGCTCGTTTGTCACTCTATACTATAAAAAAAAAAAAAAAAAAAAAAAAAAAAAAAAAAAAAAAAAAAAAAAAAAAGGATAGCCCTAAGAGGTGTCAATGGGTTGCAGTAGCCAATTACCACCAACCGGACTGAGTGCTCGTTTTTTATAATATTGTTAACAAAAAATGTTGTATTATGTAGTTTATTATCATTAACCGTAAGTTAAGTTCAATCAGTTCAGTTATATACATAGATCATACATGGTACGCACTTGCATACCCGCTCGGACCGCCGCTTCTACACCAACTCTCGAGTCTTCAAATACGAGACACTGTCATAAATAATGCATTATGTGAGTACAATAAATAGATAATATTAATTCTTAAAGATGAAATCTGTCAAATCAAAAAATTCGCTACTGGACTTATGATTCTCCATGTTACGAAGATTTGTCGCTATCGCCAAGTTTAACCATTTCACGTTTAACCGCATCTTCGAACTTTTAATGTTAATTTTTTTATGGTTCTCTTCTTAATAGTTTCGTGCTTAATTTCTAGATTCTCTTCGTTTTAGTTCGTAATTTTTAAAAAATCTACTGATAAAAGTGCAAACATATTTTTTTGCTAATTCGACTTATTTTCAATGGCCCCGTACAAGGCTCGCTATTATAGGTAATAGAGATCAATGAGTTGTGAAGCAGATTGCTACTGCTGAATTGCTGAACGTTAAAAACTCATGTGATCATACTTGAAATAATCTCAATTGATCCTACCACCATATTTACCTTACGGATGTAGGTAATAATGAGAAGGGTTGAATTGAGCCATAAGTAAGGTCTTATCTAACTTCATAATAAAGTATGTGAACGCACCGATGCTCCACTTAGGACTGGTTTTCAGGTATACAAAAAGTACTCTGTGGGACTGGTTCGCGCGCGTTAGCTAGGACACACTTGTATAGTACTGAAGCGGGGAGCGAGGTGGTAATTAAAGGGCGCTCCAAAATTTGTGCTGTCATTTGTATTCCGAGCGACGCCGAGTGCGTACGTATGTATTAATGTAAGTAGCGTAATATAAGCTAAGACTTATTTTATTTCCTTAAATATAAGGAAAATAAAGAATAATGGCCAGAGGGAGTGAGGCAGAAAAGTTTCTAGAAAACGTATACTTAAATGTCACGCCCATTGGCTGGGAATTCATTCGACATTTGCTACTTGCCAGAAAAAGGAAGAACAAATTAAAACAAAAACTCTGCTCTGTCCTGTCCTCAGCTGCCTCCCTGACAAGATATCAACCGTTTTATTCGTCCTGAAAACCCTAGGAATTCTATTGACAACACAAATGTACTTTGGGTTGCATCAACGAAAATAAAAAGGAAAATAATTGTTTGGTTGACAGCCCTTGCTTGTAAAAAAAGGACGGGGGGGGAGGCGTGTCAAGTGTTTTTTTCTCCGAATGTTTTTTACGGGGGACCACCACCTTATTTTTTTTTACCTTTTTTTTTTTTTTTTTTCTTTTCTCTTGCAACATTTTAAATATGAAAAGGTGTCGCGCTTTTTTCCTTTTCCGCGTTTTGGACATGATGGTGTATACCTTATCGGGTCGCGGTTTAGCGGGAAATTTGGATGCAGCTAACACGTAAATATCCGGATGCGGCTTGCCTCGATTGACTTCTGAGTCAGTAATGCTCACCTAAGATAACATTTTTATTTGGTTTATCTATAGGTTATTTACAAATCAAGGTTGGCGAGTTTACTATATTTGTAGTGATTGCCCCGCGCAGGGTTCAGTATTGTGGACTTGTACGCACTACGAACGCTAGATGGCACTGATGCTTGGAGATAAGCCTATCCAAGAATGCACTGCACTTAATTTTCTGTAAGATGTCCATGTCGAATGTGCATCATAAGGTTGGTAAGGTAGTTGGTAGTCTATACTATCGCACTGTTAATGTTGCTTCTCATTCCGCTTTTTTAGGATCTCAGTTTGACGTTTTAGAGAGAATTTCCTACATCACTGCTCACCAGCAACCCGTCCTTCAGTCAGGAAGGTACTCAACAAGCGCTAGCAATTAAAAAATAACATAACATAAACACTCACTCCTGTCACCCAGAGGGGTAGGCAGAGACTTCCATTTGGCACGATCCTGACATACCTCCTTCGCCTCCTTTACATCCATATATCTACGCATACATGCTGGTTGGTTAAGGGTACTTTTGATGTGGCCCATTTTCAAAATATCGCGAATTTGGTCGATAAACTTTCATCTAGGGCGTCCCTTCTCGACTCTGCCGTTCACATCTGCCATATAAATTTGCTTGTCACTCTTTCCCCATTCATTGTTTCCACATGACTAAACCACCGAAGCATTCCTTTCTTAATCCTAGTCATAACACCATCTTGCATACCACATTTTTCTCTTATCACACAATTTCTCATCCTGTCATTCAGATTCAACCCTAGCATACTCCTTAAAGACGGCATTTCTACAGCATGTATTCTACTTTCGTGCTTCTTCTGCTGCATCCAACTTTCACTACCATACATTTAGGTAGGAATTTACACAGCATTATGAATTACCAAACACACACACGCATAGCATTATAAATTATTAATTTAAATACGTGCCTTTTTTGATAGATTCTGATTCTTCATAATATAGTATAGAGCCCCATTCATTCTATTTCCTACATTCACTTGTCGTTCTATATCCTTATCATATCTACGATCCCTGTTAAATACACATCCTAAATACCCGAACTCATCCACTTAATCAACTCCCCTTCTTTTCCTATTTCATAAACGTTTTACTTTCTTCTCTTTCAAAAACCATCACTTTCGTCTTACTTACGTTCACTTTTATTCCTCTTTCTTTTAATGCCCAGTTCATTAATGTAACCATCAATTGCAACTCGACCGACGACGACGCAAATATGACTTGATCATCGTCGTAAAAAACGCATTTGACGGTTAACTCTCCCATCCTTAACCCACATTCTTCATCTTTCAAAGTTTGCAAACAACTGTCCATAAATAGGTTGAGCAGCCACAGGAAAGTTACACAGCCCTGTCTGACACCTTTTTAGATGCTAAACCAGTCAGAGTAGACCCCGTTGATCCTGACACAAGCACTAGAGTCCCTATAAAGGGATTTTAATACCTGTATAAAACCAGCGCTCAACTCATATGAGTTCAGTATTTGCCATAATACAGTCCTGTCCACTCTGTTATAAGCTTTTTCCAAGGCCATGAACGCACAAAAAACCTTCTGTTTTTGGCCAAAAATTTCTCCGCAATCATGCGCATGGAAAAGATTTGATCTGTAATCCAAATTTTTCCATTCGTTTCTTTCATAACCCTTTCAATTAACACATTAGCATACAGTTTATCCACAATACTAAGCAAACTGATACCACGAAAGTTTTTGCAGTTCTGCTGTGACCGTTTTCCATATGCCATACACTTGACATCACGTCTGCAGGAGCGGCGGTCTGGCAGGTAGTGGCGCTCACGGAGGGTTTACGGCCAGTGTGCCTATTTGCCTTAACCGTGTGACGTACATTCACTGTGGCTGGATTCGTTCGTATTCTGTATGGCGTTTACACGCATTGACATGCGCGACTTCGGTCGATGTTTGTGCTTACGCAGTAACAAGGAGCCAAGCCTCTTTTACTGGTTCGCCAACGCCAGTTATTTTGCTGTGGACTACGGCCCGGTTCCCGAATTAGCGTTCCCTTCGGGGGGAGTGCATCAAAATGGTTGGCGCTCACCGCGCACGGCGTGTCCCTCCCCTACATTTTTTTAAATAAAGGTAGGAGAGCGAAGCCCTTGTATTGGGTATTTCGTATAAATATATTGTGAACCTTTTCCAAGCGGGAAAAGATAAATAATAATAAATTAATAATGTAAACCTAATACAAGTGGAATAAGGACGTTTTATGTTCTTAACCTTTCTCGAGCCCTGTCTTTGTGAACGGGGTTCACTTAGCTTATGAGGCACTACCAACAGCTTTTAATTGCTCTAGTGAATATTAATTCTTTAAAAGAAAAGAATATATACAAACACATATATAGTAACTAAGATAATATATATATATATATATATATATATATATATATATATATATATATTAAAAAGGGGAAATTGCCTAATTATAAATAATATAATATATTCATTAAGCGATAAGCGAAGAAGGGGGGGGGAGTTACAATATGAAGAAGAAACAGCGTAGGTACCTAATAGCGCAGCCTTGTGAAACACCAGCGTTAATAGGCTTATAAACGGAGCATGCACCGTCTAATACAACTTTGATACTCCGATCTGCGAAAAAATTGGTAATCCAATTGCACAATTTTTGGGCAGGCGATAGAAAGGAAGCTTCGAAGAAGCGTTTTGTGCTGAACCCGATCGAAGACCTTCACTATGTCTAAACTAACGGCCACGGCTCTACCTGACTGGACTCTATTGCCTCCGCCCATCTATGGGTTGGGTAACCCTGAAGATTATCAGCTGAGCGACCCCGACGGAAACCGTACTGGCGGTCACTAATCAGCTGTTGATCCTCCAGTTACCTCATGAGCTGGCAAGTAATAATTGTTTCCATCATTTTAGAGAACAAGGAGTTGATACCGGTGCTAACTCCGGAGCAAACGTCTTTAGTACGTCTTCACCGTCACTTTATTTTTCTTAAACGTCTTCACCTATTGTGGTGGGACTCCATCAGGCTCACTCGACTTATTGACGTCTAGGGAGAGGAGTGCTTTGCGCACCGAGCTCTGTGTAAACAGCATATCCTGTATGGAGCATTCACAGCGCGGGTTGGTTGTGTTACCCCCGTTATCGAGAGTCGAGTTGGATACAAAGTGAGAGCCTAGCAGATCGGCTTTTTTCTTTGAGGCATAGGCCAGTGAGTCTTCCTCCCTGTGCAAATATAGCAGAGATGGGTGACAAAAGTTCCCTTGGACAGTCTTGGTGGGAGACTAGAATGCACGTGTTCCGGAAGGAAGTCGAACTAGTTTCTCGCGAATTCTGCCGATGTGCTCTGACTTTGCCTTGGCAATAACACTTGCAGGATCTGGAGGCGGAATTTTTCTTCTTTTTAAGAGCGCTGATGTTTGCATCCCGAGACGTTGATGCTCAGCCCATGTTCGGTAGCACTCCTATATATGGCAGGCATGATGCAATTTTACGGAAGTGACCAAACTATGACTGAGTTCTACCTACGATAAGCACCACAGATAATGGAATAAATAGTTATATTCTCTGAAGTACCACATCAGCGACAGAACCATAAACAAAGTTGAGATCATCCGATGAGAACATCCGCGTTGGCGAAGTAACCTGTTGTGTCAGACCATATGCCAAGGCAAAGCCTTAAACAGATCTACCCGCATGATCGGTTGAACGAGAAGCAAGCCATTTAGAGTGGTGGGCGTTAAAGTCACAGAGCATCACAATGTCTGCGGATAGGACCTGTTGTAGTACGGAGTCTGCAGCCATTTGGACGTCGGTCTGTGTCAGCATTACCGCTATGGGACCTGTACAGACACCCGTAGACGCGGGGATAGTCATCAACCTTCAAGACTGCCGAGGCGTCAAAAACAGATGTCCTCTCTGAAGAATATGCAAACTCCAGCCCGGGGCACAAAGGAGTGTTCTAATTTGTAAATCGGGTAGGAGAGATACGAAGTACCAGCCGGACAGGACACCTGGCGCTCGGTTAGAAAGAGCTAGACCGGCTTCGCTGACTCCAGATGGTAGTGGACGGCGTTAAAGTCCCAATTCCCTTTACAAGATGTAATAATTTACGGATAGCGTGTGGCAGGGGTCGCCTTTGTCTTATGTGGATACTCAGTGTGAGATTCTCCGTCACCAGTGGTGCTGATACCCTCCTGGGGTATTTAATTCCGCTGCATGTTAAGGGAGGGTGGTCGGAAAACTGAATCTCCCCCGATTCAGTTTTCCGACCGCCCGCACTTACCAGGCGAAACGCTGAGGAATACATCTACTTCACGCTGTTATTCTACCACTGTCCGCCTTGTTTCCAGTAAAAAGGGTTTCTGGCTCTCTACTCTCATCATAGAAAACACAGCAGAATTAAGCTGCTATTTACACTGGTATTATTATGAGAGAGTATTCCTTCCTCGGTCGACCAGACACATCTGTGCTAATCATAATATAGCTACAGCACGATTCTACATCGCATTAAAAATATTTAAATATATAATTATAGCCCGTAAAAGTCCTATATCATACATAAATGAAACTAATGTGTTTTTAATAAAATCTATCAATTGTTAATTAAAAAACACTAAAGATATTACCCAATTAGATATTTACCTTATGATGGAATAAACCAAAAAGTTCAGGCCTTTCAGTGGCATGCATTCGTACCGCATGTGCTGTAGAGTTGGTAACTAGAGCCAAGGGAATGTTGTTATTACCGAGATGGATCAGGAGTCGTTCAGCCCCTATAAGAAGTAAAAAATTCATATTAAAGCAAAACTGATCTCAAAATGATCATGTAACAAAGAAGCTTGTGATTTAAAATAAATCCGTTCCACACTAACTTTATGCCTGCAATATTAACTGAATGAAGGCACTAAATACGAAGCAATTTTTAATGACATTAGAGTGACAGACGAAGTGGCTGACCTGATGTTAAGTAACAAAGAAGGCCATAGACATGTTGTCTCCCCAGAACCCTGTAGGATAGAATGCCTCATTATCCGAAGTTAAACTGGCTTCAAATCGGAACACAATAAAAGTAGGAAGAAATGTTTTCTTTACTTTATTATACTCCTCACCAGTACAGAAAAAGGAACACAGTTACCCAGGAGCGCATTGTAGATCAAACTATTTTTATAAGCACATGAATCTTAATGTTATCTTAACATAGGAATATTCTACAAATACCTTCTTTCAACGGCGCACTTGGCAACAGTTTTTTGGCTGAATCAGACAGCTGCATCTCAAACTCATCAACGGATATCGGTAACTTCAATTCACGAACAACCGCAACGCTTAATTCGCGATCAGTTACACCGTACATCTATTAGGTATATTAATAATTTCATTGTATGAAAAAGAATAAGTTTAGATGCCGTATCCGCTCGTTTGCTTCTTGCAACCACAGTTGCAAAAACAGAATCCTTAACTTTGCTCTTTGCAACTGTGGTTGCAAAGCGTCGAAGTTCATTTAATTGAATTTAGATCGTACTTTAAATGCACAGAGTCTAACTATTACGTATTAAAACCAAAAACAAATATATAAATCATAGATTTGGATTAAAATTACCAACCTTTTGGACGAAAAATATTGAAACTGTGTTAGTGTAAGTAAAGTAAGTGACGCTTGAGTGGATTAAACGAGGTGATAAAATTGAATTTTATTGATTTTTGCTAGTATTTATATACAACATTAATGTCTTATTAGTGTTTTCTTGTATTAAAGTAATATTTCTGAAAATAGTGTATGAAAAATGTGATAAAGTCGACTTTTAGAAATACTCAGAATGATGCGAATCTAAACATAATTTTCTATAGCTTAAATTATCGTAATTATGTTGTATTCTTTAAATACGAAATAGTCGTAGTGGTATTTGAATTTATAATTACTCAATTGAAGTAATAAAGTTTTATAAATTGTTCATCATGTTATAATAGTTTTTATGTAATAACAGCCTAGATTTTAACTAACAAATAGCGATCAATTGCGCAATCCGTGAATTCTTCATCAGGTTTCACTTAATATTTTACTATGTAATTAAATATAAATCGTTTTAAAATATAGATAAATATATCAAGTAGTTCATTAAGTTTAAGGATATAATAAATAATCATACACTTATCAATCTTATTTTCTTGATAAACCCGATGTTTTACAAAAAATCGCTAAAATGGCTTGTACTTGTGATTTCAACACCTCTAAAATATTATTGTAATCATATTTTGATAGAAGAACATACATATTTCCTTTCCTTATTTCAATGGATATTCATAAAATTTAAAATATTTGAAGTGCTCCTCTCGAGTAAGTTATAAATTAAGTTTTATTGATGGCGGGTCGAACGTGAGAAACACAGTCCCAATTACTGGCAAACTAAGCTATCCTTTTTTTTGTTCGCAAGCAATCGAGCGGGTACAGTATTTACAGCTATATTATGCGGATAGAAGACGTCCTTCTTTTTCTTTTCTTACTTACTAATAAAAAAATGTTGTATATTCTTTCATTAGAGAGGGGGCAAACGAGCATGCGGCGCATCTGACGGTGACTACCACCGCCCAAGAACAACTACCGCACCAGGGGAATTGCAGGTGCGTATCCGGCCTTTTAAGAGGGGTAGGCTATTTTCTTGAAGGTCCCTAAGTCGTATCGGTCCGGAAAAATCTCTGGTGGTAGTCAATTCCACAAGGAAGTTGTGCGAGGAAGAAAACTTCTTTTTAATCGCGCGGTGGTGGACCGTCAGTCATCCAGATGGTATGGACCGTACAGCGAGTTTTGTCGCGTTGTGTGATGATGAAATTGTACGGCTGGAATTAGTCCGAACAATTCCCCCCACAAAATCCCCGTGGTGAATGCGATAAAATACGCAAATAGATTCAAAATATTTTTGCAGTGCCAGTGAGTCAAGCCGATCGGAAATAACTCGATCGCTGACGATTCGAACGGCTCTGCGTTGCACTTGAAAGCCCCAGCCCAGAGGTGGGAACAGTATTCCATGTGTGGCCGAATCTGCGCCTTGTAAATTTGTAGTCGGTGTGCCGGCATGAAATACTCTCCCAGCTCTGCTGAGCACGCCAAGCTTTTCAGCGGCCAATTTGGCCTTCTTTTCCAAGTAACCATGAAACTGTACGTCACTCGATATGTCATCGCCGAGGATTCCCATACTGGCTAAGACAACAAGGGGAGTGCCAAATGAAACTGAGGAGATACGACGAATGGATGTTTTTTTTGCGGTAAACGCGCAAACTTGTGTCTATTGGTGATTGAACTGGACTGGATTTAGTCGCCCCCAGTCCGAGACTTTCTTCAACAAAGTCTATATAAATATAAAATCATTTGATATTGAGAATTAATCGTTTTTAAATAGAAATTACCTGGATTTGTAGTTGACGGTTATAATTTCGACCATATCGTTCACATATTTTTGTTACGATTTTTTGGTAAATTACTTCGGAATCTGAAATAATTTTTGGTTTTGAAATTTCTAAGAATCCTTAATATACTTAGCATTATTTCGAGTATCTTTCGCTGTAAACTAGACTTCTATTAGCTATTGATTCCCAGTAATTGGGAATTAGATCAGCAAATTGATTGCTGCAACCGCAATTTCATAGTATATTTTAACTTTTAAGGTTTACATATCTTTTTTTAATTTTACGGGTTTGGTATACCTGTGGTGTAATCGACGAACGAGGCCCTGACAACCGATTGATAGCAGAAAATCCATCATAACTAAACAGCAGGGGAGGAGCAAGACCTAAATTTAACGTTGAATAAATATTTTCAAATAATTTTACAAGTCCACTGCTAAACATAGGTTTGATTTTATTCTATCCTCACTAAGTACTTTGTCGTTTATAAGATGCTGGTAGCCATTCTACCTCATTCAGATTGACGTCTGGAACTTAAGGACAGTGGCGAATGAGATTAACACTTATTACCACCCAAAGTACCTATCTTGTCGCCAGCAATACGCTATTCTGATTCGCCAACCACACAAACTTTTTAGATGAATTGCCAGTGCCTGATTTAGAGATCCCCCACCGGCCTCTTCTGTCTGTGCCTGCTCAACCAACGAACATATTCACAAAATTTTTATATTTTACTAGCTTTTCACCCTGCGGTTTCACCCACATTAAATCAAATTTTTGTGATAGTAAGTGTCGACGATCGCCCATGAACAACTGCAACACTAGGAAAATTGCAGGTGCGTTGCTGGCCTTTTTAAAAGAAAGTACCCGGATAACATGAAAAAAGGGCTCGAAATAATAGATTTTCTCACAAAAGGGAATTTGAAAAAAAAAGGAAAAAAATGTAGGACCCAAGACGGGACGCGAACCACGGAACTCCGATATCACGCCCGACCGACATCCTACCTGAGCTATTACGATCGTTATAATAGTAGTCTGTCAAAATTTACCTTCTTATATTGTAGCAGTTTTTTTTATTGCTGAAAACACGGACAAAAGGACATTTTCTAGAAATAAATCCTAGCTAGATCGATTTATTGCCCCTGAAAATCGTTGGAGCCTTTTCCGAAATTCCGATTATATATATACAAGAATTGCTCGTTTAAAGGTATAGGATAAACTCATTTCTTGAAGGTCTTTAAATCGTAAGTCATTCGGAAAATTCTCCGGTGATAGATGATTCCAAAAAGAAGTCTTGCGAGAAAGAAAACTTCTAGTAAAACGCACAGTCATAGTGGACCGCCAAGCATCCAGCTCGTGTGGATGGTACCTACCGTGAGTTTTGTACCGATGTGTGTTTGTGCAATTTAGCGGCTAGAATTAATCTGAACAATTTTTCTAAGTACTCTCCGTGGAAAATCCGATAGAAAATGCAACGGGATGCATCATCTCTTCGCAGCGCCAGTGAATCGAGCCAATCAGAAAGAACTCGATCGTCTACGATCAAATCACTCTTGATGAGATGCAGCCAAATGGAAGGAGCTGGTACGTGGGTGCTCTGATCCACAGATGAGAACAGTACTCCATGTGAGGTTGGCATGAAATACTGTCCTGCTCTGCTGAGCATTCCTAGTTTTTTTAGAGGCCAATTTAGCCTTCCTTTTCAAGTGAACACGGAACTGTACGTCATTCAATATGTCAATGTCGAGGATTCCGATGCTGGCTGAGGCAGCATGGGGAGTATCTTGAAATTGAGGACATACGACAAAGGGGTTCTTTTTAGCCATAAATGTGCAAACATGTGTCTTCTGAAATTTAAACAGTCGTATTTTGTTTATTAAAGACTCCTCTTCAGACACAAGTTGTGATTTGATGTTCCGAGAATTTAGGTCATCGCCAGTGTTACGACCATTAACAAGAACGTATAATTTATAGAACGTATATATATATATATACAGAAGAAGCAGCGTAGGTAATAATAGCTCGCAGCCTTGTGGAACACTAGCGTTAATAGGCTCGTAGTCGGAGTATGCACCGTCTACTACGACCTTGATACTTCGATCTGCAAGAAAACTAATGATCAAATTGCTCAATTTTACGGAAAGCCCATAGGAAGGAATTTTCTAAAGAAGCGCTTTGTGCCAGAGCCCATCGAGAGCCCTCGCTATTCGACCAAGTCTTCTACTGCTTCCGCTCATCTATGAGCCAATTAAATGGTAGAGCCATGCTGCAGTTATATTAGTAGTATAGTTGTAGCACGAATGGGTCGGCTCGACCGGGGAAGGACCACGCTCTCACAGAATACCAGCGTGAAATAGTAGCATAATGCTGCTGTATTTCGTATGGTGAGTGTAGAGAACCGGAGACCCTTTTTACTGGAAACGAGGCATTCCATCTCAGTCCTCACGGGTGACAACGCATCTGCATTTTGATTTTTAATGGAGGATAGATGTAGATGTCTATGGGCCGCAGCAACCACTTACCATCAGGTGGACTGTGTGCTCGTTTGTCACCCTATTCTATAAAAAAAAAAAAAAATTAGAAGATAAGAACTAAAATCAGGTGATTTGCCATACCGAATTAGCGGTCACTCCAATTCTGTGCGGTGGTCCTCAAGGTAGTGGGTTGCGCATGAGCAGCTTATAATGGATTGCATCATGTTGGAAAACAAGGAGGCGATGGTGAAATCCTGTAGTTGGATGGGTGTTCACCTTCTTAGTCTTAGTCTTAGTCGGTCTTCCATAAATTCAGGATTACGCCAAGAGAGTAGGAGTACCGGAAAAGACGCGTTAGAACCGGTGCTAACTTCGGAGTACCCTTCCTTAGCACAATAGGAGATCCTCCATCAGACCCAATCTACAAAACTCGACAAATCGAACCGTTTCGTTTTGTCTGGGAATGGGGTTCGTTTTGTCT